TTTTTTATTTTATATATTTTTCGCCGCTCCGGTTTGGGTTTAAACCATAATTAAAATTCTCAAACCGAAACCAACCCGTTGTTGGTTCAAAATCATTTCGTTGACGGGTCCACGGGGCACCAAACCGCTGATTTTGAAATTGCGGTTTCGGTTCGATTTTCCGATTTGGCGATTTTTGCTTACAGCCCTACAAGAAAGGCAACATATGAGAATAATGTGATAGTTTAGGGATTGAAATGCAAAATACAATAAATTAAGTCAATTTTCCCAAAATTTATTGCACAGAACGAAACAAGCTGGAAGAAAATAAACGACGAAAATGGAAGGTGGGGATGATGATCAAAAGCAGAAAAATTCATCGTTTGTTATACAAATTCCATCTTACGAACAAGTGATTGAGAGCTCTCAATCGAAAACGATGCCGCCGTCTCTCTTTAACCCTTCCACGTCTTTTTCTCAGGCTTTCAATTTTATTAAAAATTCCGATTTCTATACACCTCCTCCTCCTCCTCCTCCTGTGCCGCCGGCGGACTCTTCACCTTCCAATACTCCCCCTCCGAGGTGGTGTCTCTATCTCTTTTTTCTTATATTTGCATTTAGTTATGGAATTAGAGATATAATTGGTATTATATGTTATGGTGCAGGCAATCGGAAGTTCCGGCTTCCTCAGCTTCGGCATCTGGTGTGAACCGGAATGCCATTCTTGTAAGCCATAGACAGGTGAGTCTATGTCAATGCTTGTGTACAGTTTGGGGTTTGAATAATAAGGTGTTTAATTTCATTTTATGAATTTTGATGCCCTAGCCTGTAAAGAATTGGAATTGTTAGAATGGCACTCAATTGATTCAATCACTGAAACACTCGGAGAACCCTTTCAATGAATTGCCCCCTGATTCTATCAGTGAGCTGTGATATTTGATGCATTCATGTGAAAAGTTAGGATAGCAAGTTGAGATTTCATAGGAATCAGCATCTTTCTAGTTAAGTGAAAAGAAAAGAAAAAACAGCAAGTGTCTTCCCATCTTCCCATTCCTGCTTGACCTCACACTTAAAGAAATCAAAGTTGAAAGCATGTGGTGTTTTTGCCTTTTATCTCAAGGCGAAAGGAGATAGAAATAGTTCCACTTCTAAATTGAATTTGGCACATACTAAACATCCACCAAGAGAAACAATAAGAAAAAAAATGAATAAGCTGCTAAACTGGCATGAAAACATTAAATTCTTGATGTAAGATGGCTCAGTTTGATTAGGATATGTTCTTAACTTTAATATGTTTATTTAACTAGTCTGACAAAATGTAACGGATAAAGTGAGCAGAAGATTTATAGGCGTCAACTGCATCTGGTTAATACAACCTGGAATCAAATAAACTTGTGTCAGTGGAACACTTTTTCCAGTAAGAGTGACTCTCATTACAATTGAACTGGTTAGATAAGGACTTTGATGTTCAATCAGGGCACATTTTTGAGTATCTAACTTGTCATTCAAAAATCTGCTACTTGTTCGTGGAAATTAGTTGATGCTCGCATCCTGTTGTGAGTTATAGCATTCATTTTGGCCTTTGATATTCTTCCGAACTGGATCTCCAAAATTGTCAACTTGGGCTCTTTAATTGCCATTTCACCCTTTCTTCTTATTCCTTTTCTGCAATTGGTATCTGCCTTAACACAAACAACCTTCATCAATTCCAATCTTCTATACCACCTCACTGATAAACCTATCCACCCAATTTAAACATTCAAAATTGGATCTACCAACTCAAAGACCAGGTAAGTGGTAACTTCAATACCCTTTGCCATTTTCTTCTGCCACTGCCACCATCATCTTCCTCACTATTTGACAAAAAATGTCGTGTATTGTGTTTGAAAACCAACTTCCTAGTGCTATTAGTACAACTTGTCTGAATAATTGTCAAAGGGAACTTCAGTTCTTGTTGCTAGCAACCATTTTTCTTCCTAGAAATCCATATTGGCTGAAGTCTAGGATTGTAGGGTTATCCAATCTGTTGAGGACTTCGAAGGTTTCTTAATGGTGGTAGTGTTGTTGATATACAATGTTGTGGTATTGGTGGATCTTCGATTTTTGACCTAAAAATTTTTAGATGCTGTGATGTTTGCTTAGGAGCTGATTTGATTGATGTTACCAATTTTAAGTTCTTTTTAGCACCAATGTTGCCTTGGGTGCAAAACAATGTAAGACGTTTTGGTGGTTGCTTTTTTCATCGTCACAGCAGCAACATCTACAAAAACTGGTCTGTGAATAATTGGAGAAAGAAAAGAAGAATTTTGTTCCAAAAGTTTTGAAAAGAGAAATAAAACAAAATAAAAGAATTACCGAACAATCCGGAGGTAACTTAGAGAAGAATAAGCAGAATAACAAAGCCTAAGAGTTCATTTAAGCAAAATCGTCGGTTAGTTTAAACTCCAACCTGAAGTTAGGTAAAACTCCAACGAAAAGCACTAGTCTATAAAGAGTACTGCACCATCCAAATAGACCTAGATGACTATTCATATGTAAGACGAATGTGAAAGGTATTTTCGGGTTCAAATGTATTCGATACATTTGAAGGTATAAAGAATATATATTTATTCAAACATCTTTTCGACCATCAAAATGCTGGTGCAGAATTTTGTGAAAAGAGGAGTTTTTGAAACAAAACAATTGTTTTTTGGAAAATATCCTTTACATGATTTCAAAACATCATTTTCACACACANAACGACTTTAATATATTATTTTATCTTTCTTTTAATGCAGAAGGGGAACCCTTTGCTAAAGCATATAAGGAATGTGAGATGGGCTTTTGCTGATGTTATTTGTGACTATTTGTTGGGCCAAAGCACATGTGCTCTTTATTTGAGGTTTGAACTTTTACTTATTTTGTTTTACTTGTTGGCACAATCAAATAAATAGATTAATAGATATTTCTGTACTAAAAATGCAAAGTGTTTAAGGAGGTTCATGAATTGGGCAGACAATATATTTTGTTGAATCATCACCATGAACTTCCAACTTGTTTCCATGGAGACTGTCTGACATTTACATTTCATTAAATCTGGTCAAGAAATGCAAGAGTCATTTCATAGTCTATGTTTCTTTTGCCATAAGAATGACTATAAGCATGGTTTGCAACTTTATCCTTTAAAGAGATCAATTTTTTTCTTGATCAAGTATCAATACTAAACTCCTAATAGCAACATTTGAAGTAACAAGTACCAAGTTGGCGATTTTTATTATCATCAAATACCAATACCAAATTTTGAAAAGTAGTTGGTGCAATTTATCTACAAAAAATATCGACTTCACATAATGAGGAGCACAAGGGACTAGTAGATCAGATTGGCCTTCGGATATACTGCAACAATGGTGAATTGAGTGTGCAACGATAAGGAAACAATTATGCTATATTGAAAATATAACTTTCATTTAAGTGTGATGGCCAATTAAATAGATTAGTTTCATGTGAATGATCAAAAAACCCTTTCTTAACGTGTTGAGAAAATCATGGAAACGAAACAAGTAAAAAAAAAGGGCATAAAAATCACCTTTAAAATGTTTGAGCCTATATTGCGCATCAAAAAGCAAGCTCATAAATTTTATGACGTATTTTAATTTACCTTTTAAACTTTACATGAAAATTAGGAAAATTGACAACAAAGTATGGAGCTAAAACAATATAACGGTAATTAGTAGACGGCAATCGAATATCAATAGGAATAGTAGCAAGCGAACAATTGTGTTGGAGAGCAGCGTGTCATCTAATTGAAGTAATGCCATAACAAAGATAATGTTAAAGCCACGCAAAGGAGGAAACAATAACAATTTAAACACGAAGATGAGGAAATGTGGAATGTGTGGCTTAGGTGACACCCAATAGGTATACTACCATGTCATTGTTAATTGTATCGATTACAAAGGTGTGATCAAGAAATGGGACAATAAAATGCCCCAAACCCTCATGCTAGGCAACCAATTTATCTCCATTGTGATGTTGCTATTCTAGTTTCATTAGCTCTTGTGCAAAGGAAAGAGACAACTACACTATAATCATAAAAAAAAATTTGTTAAAGATTGTATAGATTATGTCATGTAAGGTTTGATGATGAAGCTGCACAAAAAGTCTCGCTACCAAATTCAATGCAAAAGGAAAAACTCATTATTGTTCTTTTTTACACTATCCAAAAAGAGGGTCAGCAATTCTGGGGAGAGATTGTTGTTTTCTTCCAATATAAGAGTTATAATTATCTCCATGAATGTGAAGATATTCCCTGCTTGAGTTTCTCTTTGGGTCAAAAGAAAATGTTGGAACATGTGAGTTATCAATTATTCACAATCTAGATGACATAGTTATCATTTACATTACCCATAGTTTTAAGTATTCTAGCTCCCTTAGCATACAATTTGATAGATTTATTAGAGAAAAATGCAAATGATGATATAATTAATGCAATGATATCCATCATTTTTCTCATAACTAAATGAGACATCGGGAGCAATAATTCGAGATATTTCACTAAGGCAAGAAGTAACTACTACTTGTATAACATGTGGATGCTGTAGTAGCTCATTCAAGACCAATGCTATTATTAGTGGGGAGAGATGTAAGATGGAAATAGTGGGTGATTGGTCCACATGGGAGAGCAAATCCTAATTTGTTTAAGGTAGGAGTGCATTAAGAGATAATGAAGAAGCTGTTTTTCAGTTGTCATTAATTATTCTGCTTACATTTGTTTAGCACACCACAATATTTTGACTAAAATACTAAAACAATAAAAACAACTAGTATATTTTTTAGCAACTGTTTTAGTTTTTTTTATTTCTTTTTTTTTAAATTTTTAAAGAAGAGCAACTAGCAACTAAAAAGTAACACATTTTTTGTTTTGTTTTGTTTTATTATTATTATTTTTTGTTAATAAGAGGCCAAACGCTTAAATGAAAACTAAGGTTTCAGTACAATAAAATTGATACCAAACAAAAAGTCAAACTGGAGCAACCTAATGTCTGAATCATTGCTAAGCATGCGCTATCCACCCATGCTAGAATAAGATAATACATTACTAGTAATGAAAGCGGTCAGAGAATTGAGGCACCAAGCTACTGAGCTAGATATTGGAGAATTCATACTACTATATAACCTACACATTGAACAAAATAATTTTTCATTTTTTCGCCTTTTTTTTTTACTTTGTTTTAGGATTCTGCCAGCTAGGGTTAAAGGAGAGAAATAAATCTTTTTGGTAATAAAACTGCAACAAAAAGTAAGTGGTGGAATATTTTCGTATGAAGAAAGATGTTTTTATTTTTTTTTATTATGAACAACAAGCAATATGAAAACAAAGTAGGAAACAAAATTCTCTTATTGGCTGAGTTTTTTCTATGCCTTTGCTGCCGTCCTGTAGTTTTGTGTACGGTTTAGGATTGATTTTTTGTTATGGAATGATTGGATTTAAGGCGGTGTTGGTGAGGGTAGTTATGGATATGGAGGATGGTAGAGGCATTGACTGGGTATGATGTGAATGAATGTTGGCTTGGAAATTTGGAAGATGCGGCACTAAATTTTTGAACTTGAAGACCTATCAAACCTTTATGAATTTGTTTGGCTAAAGGAATACGACTTTCTCTAATATCGAACAAGAACGAGATTGAGAAAGAGAGAGGAAGAGAGAAGAGAGAGAGAAGAAGAGGGAGATAATAGAGAGAATTTACAAGGAGAAGATACGAGTTTATTCAATATGAAAATCTACTTATTACAATCATAAGCCTCCTTTACATAAGGTCTAAACTAGTCTAATTTAGATAAGAAACAATCAATAAAATACTAGAGAATCTATTAAATGTAGGTAAGAAACAACTAATAAAATACTAGAGAAGTTCTTAAACTTCTCAGATATTCGACCTACCTTGCTCTTTTAAATCACCATACTTCCGTAGCCCATCTCCAATCATCAATGCCTTGTGTTGAAAATAGATAAAGGTAGTAGGACTTCATTGGTGGTGCATGTAGGAATCTATATTTTGGCAGAGTTATATATCATATGATTTTTTGTCCAAGCATTGCTCTTGCATGACTCATGGATTTTTTAGCATGGACGTATCTAATAGTAGAATTAAATTGTGCTCTATTAGTCTTCGGTATCATCTACTCCATCCAGACTACCTGTATTTTCGGATAAGGGAACTGCAGAAGAATTTCAAGCTTCGTGTTGTTTTGTGTCATGTTGATGTGGTAAGTCCTTGAGAAATTGTGTTTTCTGCTTGGTTCTTTAATGCAATCACCAAGTTATCATTGTTATTGGTACCAGGAAGATGTTGTTAAGCCGTTACTTGAAGTCACAAAAACAGCTCTACTTCATGACTGCACTCTTTTATGTGGTTGGAGGTATCTTTCTTGCATAACTTTATTAGAAGATTCTAGGCCCTATGATATGTAATTTAGATGGTCATAACAATCCACCTTGCCTGTACGAATGTTAAGCATGCACATTTTTATGTGCATATGTATATATATATGCATGCACACATGCTTGCACATACATACATACATACTTTGGCAGAATATGAAGCCATGACAATGCTATGAGTGTTTTCCCGGATTGTTGCGGTAGCGTTTGAAATACCAGGAAAATACGTGGAAAAGGTGAAGGAAGAAATATTGGAAAGCTTTCCTGCATGGATGTGATTTGCATTTTTTCCTTTCGCAACATCCAAACACTAAATAAATTTGCAGAAACTGTTGCTTTTATCAGATTAAATTATTGTTAAGATTTTCATCTAGGTGTTTTGTCAAAAATGTGTTCTTGAACTTTTTTATATAGATGCTTTTGAAGCTGTGTGAACTGAAGGCACTAAGCAGCTTGGTTTCCTCACTAAAATTAACTTCATTTCTGCTTGTCAATTTTATTTAGCTTGGAAGAATGTGGTCGATACTTGGAGACAATTAAGGTTTATGAGAATAAGTCTGCTGATCTTATTCAAGGGCAAATGGATTCAGATTATCAGTCACGGGTATCTATCTATAAGATTTTGGGCTAGTAATGAACCATCTTCTATTGGAAACAATTAGTGGAATTTAGTATATAGACAACTGATCTTCCTTTTTCTTCACAGCTAAATCATGCTCTTACAGCGGTACGACATGTTAACAAGACAGATGTTGTTACTCTTGGGTCTACATTTGGAGTAAGCCTATGATTTTAAATGTACTATTTATTTTGTTGGTGGTATCTTTGTTTTGTCACTCTAAAACCAAGTTTTGCTCACTGCAGTCCCTTTCTCATATTATGGATGCATCAATGGAAGATCTAGCTCGTTGCCCAGGCATAGGAGAACGCAAGGTATTTTCTTTGTTTTCATCTATTCTTTCCAAGTTTTTGAATGGGTTGGTCATGGGTGGCGTTTTCTTTCGATGGGAGCCTGGTATCTCTAGATTATCTGTTTCTTTTGCATTTCAGTTTTGGGCTTGGATTTATGACCTATTTATTTTTTATTTTTCATGATATATCTTTAACATGACTGCCTGCTTCTGTCTCACAATAATAAAAGATATGAAACAAAATTTTTACTCCAATTTCAAGCTTGCCACAATATTGATTCATAGGAAATTAGACCTATGGTTCCAAACCTACTTGTAAATGTGCACATAGGTCGCCATTCAGTTTCTTTTGGTAAATGTGTCCCATCCTTAACTTTTAATAGCAAGTGGGTTCCAAGAGGAGATCCCTTCGGTTTGAAAGGGGACCTTGCTACAAGAATTGAAAGTAGGCCCGTTTGCCAGGAAAAGAAAATTGAATGAGGACCAAGTGCACGTATCGACATAGATTGGGGATTGTTGGTGTAATTTTCCTTTTAAGTTATAGATAAGATTCAAAAGCATAGCATGACATGAATGATTTTTAAGTGGTTGTTTTAGAACTTACAAGTACGCCAATTTGATTTAGAACACGAATTTTGTATATTGTGTATGTGATAGATATGCAGGCTACCCACTAGATACAAATTATGTTACATTTCGGTCTTGTTGACCCAGTGATTCATTCTGATCCATAAAAGCAAGGAGATCTAAGACATTGCATAAACGCATTGCAGCCTGTCAGGAAATGAGTTCTCCATCCAAAAGTGACCCGTCCTGGGAGTTCTATTACTCGAATTATAGCAAATCTTTCGTATTCTGCTTATTAATGGGTTGTTTTCTTTCAGATCACGTGGTCTGTTATCTATTTGGAAGAGTCATGTACTGCAAAATATGCCATTTACAACCTTTCTTAGCTTACAGCCTACTCCAAAACTGATTCCTTTTGCATGTGTAATAAGATAGTTTAGATTGCTTGTTGCATGAGCATGTCTACAAGTCCATTCTGGGTGGTATTACATATTAAAAGAAATGGAACTTTAAATGTTTTTTCATCAGTTGAATGTAAACTGTGATGTAATGATGAATCAGGTAAAACGCTTGTATGATACTTTCCATGAGCCTTTTAAGCGAGTTGTTCCCTACCACCCTTCGGTTACTGAAACTCCGATCCAAGACAAGGCTGGACCTAGCTCTGTCAATGAAAGCAATGACAATGATGAGGAGTTTCAGGATGCAAGCAAACGGAGGAAGAAAGAATCAGAATTAAGTGTCAAATCAGCATTACAGGCAGCTTTTGCAAAGTATTCGGGTAGAATTGGTAAAAAGAGCAACAAACTACAACAGGATGAGGTAGAGAAGGAAAATGTTGATGCTGAGCATGCAAATAACAGTAAGGAGTGTGCCGGTTCAACTGAGATCTTATAAAGATGACTACCACCGTGATCCTCGTATGCAAGTGGCATAGCTATTCTGTGATTTAGTAATTCACAGTTTGCTAGAATTTCTGTTCTTGTCTGCCCGATTGTTTCGTTCCTCAAAACTGTATATATATCCCTTCTTCCCAAAGAAAATAGAGGGAGGCTTCGCAAACAGGACAAACAAAATATATATACAGGAGGAATTTACTTAAGGGAGTTAGAATTTTCAGTTTCTTTCTTGCCTATGTAAGTTGTCAGTTGAGATCAGCTCTTGAAATATAAAGATGTAACCTTCCCTCAGTAGAAATATAGAGCCCCTGTTTGGTGAGGAATAAAAGCAGATTTTTATTAGATTTTGATAAAAATTGATGAAATGTATGGTTGAAAAGTTATAGTTCTCATAAAATATGTTGTTCAAATCAATTGTGGACTTTGATTCAGATTAAAATCTGGATTTTAATTTATATCAAACAGGATATTTGTACAATGAGTGAATTTATGAACTTTTAATAGACCTATGCGTAAATTTATGAAATTTTATGAAGATACATAAGATTAATTCTGATATAAAAGACCTATGCGTGAATTTTATGAAATTTTAAATTTGCGCAGCCGCCTTGAAACTCGCACACGTTACAAATCATGGGATGACCAGTAATTCAGTTCTATGCACCACCATATATTGATATGGGATTAGGGCTCGGCAAAAAACCTCCCGACCTGACCCGCCCGACCCGATCGGTTTGTTTCGGTTTTTCTCATTTTTTTGGTTGGGTTCGGGTTTTGGGTGATGAAGGTGGGTCGGGTTGGGTTGAACCAAAAAACCCGCCCAAACCCGACCTGACCTGACCTGCATATTTAAAAAAAAAAACCTCAAATTTCACTCTTCTACTGGCGTACAGAAACACTCTTTACATCCGATCGCACTACACTTACAGAAAGGAAATACCAGAAGCTGTACAGATGACGTGGCAGAGTGGACGTTTAAAAGGGCAAGAAACGAAAAAAAAAAGAGGAAAAGCAGGACACCAGTTTATTTCTTCGTTTAAACTCTCCACTCCATTCCTTATTCTCCAAACGAGAAAACCCTAGATTTCCCTCCTTCCCGACCTCCGTCCGGCGGCGACCAGTGGTGTGGGTTGTAATCCGTCATTGGCCGAAGCTATCTTGCTTCCCCTCACCCTGGATTTGAAAATTTTCAAACCACGGACGGGGCGATACGAAGCAGACTATCAAATCCCAGAGTCAGACGATTTTCGCGATACTCTCCTCATCGTGACCTCTCCGCTAGCAAGTAGGTCCCGTCCCTATACTGCCTATTTTGTTCATCTAATTTCAGTAAATATTGAACTGATATGCGTTTAGTCTGTAGTTTGCGTTGAATTGATATGCGGTTGCGTGTAATTGAAATGTGGTTACGTTGAAGTTGGAATTGGAATTGGAAGTTTTATTTTTTGTGTGCTTCCGTTTTCGGGTTGCCTTGTTTCTGAAAGGGAATTGAAGTTCTCAGTTTTCAAATCCCAATTTCATTCATTTTCACTTAAATGAGGCTGAAATTTGAGTGTTTTTTGTTTTTTTAGTCTGCTGTTCTGCTGTTAATTGAACATTTTGAAGTATATAAATTTTGTGAGTATCCAGTCTGCTGTGAAAATATGTAAATTTTGAAGTACATTTTGTGTTTGAGTTGTGAATTGATTGTGTTGGTGGTGTTCGAATTGCAGTTAACATTTCTTTGTCACAAATACATTTTGTGTTTGAGTAGTGAATTGAAGTGCCAATTCCAGTAATGTTTACTGAAATGTAGCTGAAAAAACCTGTAAATTTATTGAGTGTACTATTGATGATGATGATTCAATTGCCACTTTTCTTATGATTCTTCTTGTTGCTTCCGCCCAGGATGAGAAGTAGAAATTTTGGTGTTTGTCATGGATGTAGAAGCACGGAGCACTTCTTTCATGATTGCCCGATGAAACGGCGTTGCCCAGATTGTGCACATGGATTGGTGAAATGTTTTGAGGCTGAAAGGGAGACCAATAACAAAGGGCGCTTATTCAAAACATGCAGTAGAAATTGTGGATATTTTGATTGGGTTAAAAATGAAGAATGGATCGGTGAATCGAGTACCACGAATGAAACGGTGAATCATACGGCAATCAAGGAAGATGAAGATTTGTCGACTATGTTCGATAAACTAGCTCGAATAGCCCGAAGAGAAGATATCGAGATTTCGGTGAACATCACATTTCGTAAGGGGAAAGAAAGTGCGGAAGTGAATGGAAAAAGCAAGGGCCGTGCTTGATCACGATGTATTGAATGGTTCCTTTCAATTAAGCTCGTAGCAAAACTATGATCTATTGTAGGCAACACTAACATGTTATTGCTTCTAACTTTTTTGTTATTTTGTGAAGACAACTTGATGTCTCATTTACGTCTTGTTAATTATTTCGGAAGTATGTTTCCACATGGTATGTTGGAAGTATGTTTCCACATGGTATTTATGTAGCTATAATGTTTCCACATGGTATTTATGTTTCCAAAGAAAATGCCAAGTTTAACCAGGTTTTTATCATGGTATTTATGTAGCTATATTCTTGTTCAGTTTATCAGGTTTTTATCATGCTTTTGTACCGGAATATGCTCAACTTTTATCAATTTCATGTTTGTCTGTGGACTTAGCAACAAGCAGCCGCATAACCAGCAGTAAGCAAAACCAACAAGAATATACCAGCAGTAAGCAAGACCAGCAGAAAGCATAAAAATGAAACAACATGAAACCAAATCTGAAACCAAAGAAATTTTGATACAAACTCATTGCAAATCTAAAAATAGCAAATGTAAATTGTTCTTCACATATCTCAAACACCATGAAACCAAATATGAAACAACATCGTCACATCAACTATTTAACACAAACAGATTCATCCCTTCAAATCTGTTCAAATGTTGAGCAATGTTCACCCAATTCTATGACTGCGGTCGACTGTAAATGTTGATCGTAAATGTGGCTCTCCAAATCACCCTGCATTGACGTAAGCTTTTATAAGTACAATCATCAAAACATAAAAAAAAAATTGTTCGTGAAATGCATGTACGGACCATTACCATTTGTGAAGTAGACATAGGTGTTGGCTGCGAGTATTGAAGTTGTTGACTGAACTGGTCGATGGGTGTAGCTTCTTCGACATGACGGCGCGGAGATCTCGCTCTCCGTGGCTTGCTTGAAGTAGACGTTCCCTGCATAACAATATAAGTAAAATATCGTATTGAATATAAACGTTATACAAATCAAATAGTCAAATGTACCTGTCTTTTTCTAGAACTGGACTCCAAAGGTCCTTTTATCCGAAGTTTTCGTGGCGCACCCTTTCTTTTCGACTTTGTGGGATCTAGTACGCTGACGTTGCCATAATGCGAAGTTGTACATGGAGTTGTTGAATGAACAGTAGGCTGCGAAGGGAAATTACTACCACCACTTGAACCCGAGTTCCTGAGTTCTAGAGCTTTAGATTTTATCCAGTCCAATATCGCACGTGAACCACATTCATCGGGTGCAGCGAGGTCTGCCACTTCCGAAAATGCTATACACATTTCATCGTACCTCAACTGATCAGGTGTACTAGCCAACCCGTCATAATTAACTGCGACTCTCGTGTGAGCTCTACTAACGTCTCTCCTCCATCTTCTTATTATATATCTCTCCGGCATTGACGTAACGTCGATACGGTCCAAAACTGTGATTGCATGCCGACAAATAATTCCGCGAAATTCGAATAGGTGGCAGCTGCAAGTAATCTCCATAGTATCGCCACAAAAGACTACAGAAAATGTTTTCTTCTTCCGACCACCGGGATGTACGACAGACTCTCGAATATCGTATTTTGTGCCGGTAGTACCCTCCGTAACTGAACTGACGTCGCAATATACCTTTCCTATGAACTCAGCCTGGACTTCTTTGAACTTAGAAATAGTGTAAACAGCTTGAAATTGCTTTTCCATTTCGAAGTCCGTGGCGCAAGGAACCATCTGTTAGAAAGACTTGAAATCAGCCTGAAACTCTTTTTCTACTTTATTTCGTAAGGCCCTTTCGTACTGTTCGACAAACTGCTTCAATGAAGTTCTCGAATTGACATAACCATCAAAAAAAGCATTCATACTCTCACTGCGTTGCGTTGTGGACATGCCTGCCCAGAAGGTGGTCTTCAAAAAACACGGAACCCAACGACCTCTGTTCTCATAAAGGCCAGACAACCAAACATTATCGTGCAACCCATAACTTTCGATCATTGATAGCCAACCCGATTCGAACTCATCAACTGTTTCGGAATCATACACTGCATTGTGTATAGCAGAGAAAATCGAATTTTTATGAATGTGATATCCAAACTTTTCCGGTAACTTCTTCATAATGTGCCAAAGACACCATCTATGTTTAGTATTCGGAAAAACAATATGAATTGCATTTTGCATGGCTCTATCTTGATCAGTAATTATGGCATGGGGGGTTGACCATGCATGCACTGCAACCACATCTTAAATAGCCAGACAAACGTACATGTATCCTCATTCGATAACAAACCACATCCAAGCAGCGTTGATTGTCCGTGATGATTCACGCCCACAAATGGGGCAAAAGGCATATCATATTTATTCGTTAGATACGTAGTATCAAATGTAACGACATCGCCGAACTCTTTGTAAGCTTGCCTACACCTATTATCTGCCCAAAATACATTCTTAAGCCGTGACTCGTCGTCTACATCCATACTGAAGTAAAATCCCGAATTTTGTGCTTGCATTTGTGAAAAGTATGACTGTATTGCTGCGGCATCACCTTCTCCAAGTCGTAACCGTCTCACTTGTTCGATGTAGTTGCGACAATCTCTTTCTACAAAAGACATATTCTCATACCCACATGCTTCGACAACTACGGAGTTGAAACTTTTGTGCAACGGAAT